CATCATCATCAACATCATCATCATCATCATCCATCATCATCAACATCAATTATTATATCTTTGTTACTCACTAAAAATCTGTTGTTTTTTTATTCCAGAGAAATTTTTATCTTTTGTTTTACCTAACTSTATTGATGTAAGTTTTGGCAAAAGCACATTGGTTGATAATCATAAATTAACAGAGGATGAAATAACGTGAGTATAAAACTTGAATAATCATACTCATTTGCATACAGTACAGTCATGTATATGTAACCAAGACAATACCAGATTTTTCAATTTTTGATAAACCTTTGAGCCAGGGAACACTTGCATGTATGCAGATCTGTATTCAAGATCAAAATTGGATCAAAATTTTGTGTATTGGGCTTTAAGGAGGGAGTGGAACAGGGGAACTCAGAGGAAATACCCAAATCAAATCAATTATGACATGGGATGCCAAATGCAGGAATCAAATACGAGACCCTAGAGGTTAGAGGGGAGTGCACCCTAGATTCCTAATAATTTGGAATCAAATTTTCTCTGGTTTGAACAATGTTTTGAAAGAATCTCAAAAATCCCGGTTTTCTGAGATATGGGTTAAATAATCAATTTATTATTTTTTCCAGCCATCTAATCAACATGGGTGTTTTAGCTGTGCGAGATGTTGGTTCATGGTGGCTCAGCATTCCAGGCGTTGGTGCATATATGAAAAACTTTATGAAAGGTATTGTATTAGACCTAGCTTTTTCATATTCGTACAATAGTGCTGTGTCCGTTGATTACAGAGTAACTTACACAGGGCTTGTATCAGAATATTATTCCACAAATACACCAAGGGTAAAGTAAAGTATGCACAACTTCAGCAGTACAAACACTTCAACCTGGAAGAACACGGACCTTCACAGGAACACATGATTGTTCTATATACAATAGGCCTTTTGCAACAAACAGTCACGTGCTGATATATGTCTTTACTAACAAATCAACTCAGCTAAAGGGCCCTTGGGGAAGGCTCTGCTTGATGGCGAACAAACTTTAAATTGCTTCGTATCTTGAAATCGAAAGTATCTTATAAGGGAAAAAAAGTATTTTTGAAAAGGTTTTGGATGCGACATTAGTAATCCAGCAAAAAATCTTTAAATAAAGGAAGACCAATTTTTTTGCCATCCAGTAACAGTCACCTGTCAATCTATTGCAAAAGGCCTATTGAGGCTTACACTGAAGCAACAGAAAACTTAAAACTGAAGTGTCATACTTATTTCTTTCCTTGACCTAAACTTGTAGCTAAAATCTAGAATTTATTTTTTTCTTATATTTCTCCAGGTCGTAAGGCTTTGATACGCTTGCTCAAAAACAGGAAATACAAAGAAATCCTTCAAAAAGTAAAGTACAATTCAATTCATTCATTTTTCACACATTTTTTTAAAGTTCTAGCCAAGATAAAAAAGCTGATCACTTACATTCAAAAAACCCTTCCTCTCAAATATGTTTATTTTCATGATAAATTTACAGAAACAGAGAAGAGTGCAAATGATATACCCGTGAAATAGTTAGGATGAAATAGGAGATAGTTAGCGCTTAATTAAAAAGCATAGGAATTCAGTAAGGCATGACAAGGGCACGGGCATTTACTAGAGTAACAACTCTATACGCAAATGAATAGATACGAAAATGCAAACATGTCAAATGATACGAAGGAAAAGCATGTACAACAAAATATTGTTTCAGTTTTTGCAAGTGTGTTTAAAAATATTTAAAAATGCGCACCCTTGAGTAGTTTACCCGTCACGGCTCGCCTATTTTAACTAATTAGACTTAGGCAACCAAAGGTTAGTAATTAGTTAGCTAGCTATTTATTTCACGGGTATATTATTTGCACTCTAATCTTTATATATTTACAAATATTTATGGGAATTTGAGTGCTCACGCCTTAATTCCAAATTATTATCTCTTTACCTTTAAAATAGGATCTGGAAACCAGAAGTTTATCAAATCAGTCCAAACTAGGAATGACATACCACCTACATGATATTATTGGTGCCGAGCTAGTGAAAAGGTAAAGTACAATACCTATGATATAACTAAGGCAGACATTTCTATTTTATGGTGGTGTTTATTGGGGGTGGGGGGAGTAGGGGTAACTGTTACCTGAAGGGGGGAGGGGATAGTGTCACCCAATCTACATATCTATTGGTCCACCTTTGTCAAAGGTTTGGTCTTCAGATAGTCATACAAGTCTTTAAGTGTTCTTTAAGTCTTTTAAAAGCAGAACTTTGAGTTATTTAGTGTTTTTCAAGTCTTAGATAGTCTAACAGTCATCATTTATAATAATGTCTTATATCATTATAATTTTTTTATTTTATATTTTATTTAAAATAAAATATGAAATAAATAAAAATAAATAAATAATAAAAGTTATTTTTATTAAAGCCTTTTGAAAAGGGTATATCATTTCAAAATTTCCAGGTCTTAGATAAGATTAGTACTGATTCTCCTAACACTTCTCTTGTGTTCTAGCAATCCCTGTGTGCTTTATAACTGCACACAGCATGCATGGGTTTCCTATTTCTTCTATATATACTGGTATTTTCTAAAGCCACCATTTTATCATTGATTTAAATTTCAGCATTGAGACTACTTCTGGTCAGCTTCTTCGACTAGAAAGGACATGATAGGAAACTCCTGCTTACATTATAATGCAATAAACCTCTTTACCTTGGTTGTAATGTTTTCCTATTTTAGACAATGTGTCATATTCTCGAGAATGACATTCTTTGTTTTGGGTTGTATCCATACTCATGTGTCTTCTCATGCGTAATTGTTAAACGAAGAAATGATACTCTAGAGAATGACACATGCTATGAAATGGGTAAACATTATGCAGTCCCCAAGGTAAATAGGTATATTTATGTGGCTTAGGTCAATCAAGGGACTGGTCATAAGGAATAAGTATTTTCACTACATTTCTTATAAAGCTATTTCAAAAAAGGTTGAACACTGAATATGGCTTACTGAATAGTGCATTCCAAGACCAAAGGTCATTAATTTGAAATAAAAAGTAAAAAATGTACAACAATTAAATCTCTATATGTAGTTAGTATATTGTTTCAGATGGAATACACTAAAAATAGAATAAATAATTATTAATCCTACTTTAGACAATGTCACTATGACCCACAATGCACTTCAGTCTTGGAATGCACTATTCAGTATGCAGTATTCAGTATTCAACCTTTTTTGAAATAGCTGTACTTTCCTTTGAATTTTATAATGTACTAATTTACCTGTAAGATATATTTATATGGATATAAGGACGTTATATATGGCACATGTACAGTGTGTATAATATTGTAAAAAGGTTTTGTTATGACCAAAAGGGTCAAATTAAATTCTTTCTTTGACTTAAGAAACTGAGAATATGAGAAAATGTCAGCTGAAGTGAAGGTGGACTTTGATATTGACAATGGTATTGCCATTGTATCTGATGATGATGATGATTGATGATGATGATGATGATGACTGATGAAGATGTTATGGAATATGATGACTAATTATGGTGATTATGGTGGTGGTGGTATGGTATGGAATAGTGAATAAAGTCTGAGAACAATGATGATGATGATTGTAGCTGATTACGACTAACTATGATGCCAATAACGATGGTGGTGGTGGTATGGTATGGTATGATGGCTAATGATAATATTGCTGCAGCTGATGATGATGATAGAATGTTGAATAAACATGAGATGACGATGATTGCTGCTGCTGTTGGTGGTGGTGGTGGCTGTCTAGCCTTGTCCTTTTCATTACAGTTCTACAAGGTATTCTTGCCCAGAGAGTGAGCGCCAGGTTTCTTCTGGTAATCAATGATTCTATGAAAAGTGAAATAATCATTAGGATATTATTAATCAAAATTCATAACCCTGTGAATCAAAGGTGGCCCAGTGGTAGCACATTCGCCTCTGGGGGCTCAGGATTGATTCCCAGAGTCGGCATCACATGTGAGTAGAGTTAGGTCTCTCCCTTGATTCAAGGGTTTTTCCCTAGTTTTCCTCCCTCCTCAAACACACCAAGCTAAATTCCAATTCGTCTGTGATCCAGTCTTTCCATGCCTTTTTAACAGCCTTGAGGTTGTTTCAGGCTATCAATTAAACTTKAAGGTGTTTTCCTGACGCTAACCTGATTGTCACAACAAAAAGCATAATTCTTGCCATTCTTACCTCTCATATACAGGGCTTTCTGTTTTAGGCTCAAGATTTTCCCTAAAACAAAGAAATAAAAGTTTCAAAAGAAATTGGTAGAATGCAAACCATATATCATGTAAAATAGTACTAACTAATGAGTACAAAATAGCACCAATGAAACAATTGAAAACAAAATTAGAAATAGATGAGTTTCAGTGTTATTTAGTTCATGTGCTATTTTATAGATATATGGTTCACACTCCTCCTCGGGAACCCAGGGGTAAAGTTCTGTCGCGAGAAAGGAGCGACAGAATTTTACAACCTGGGTTCCTGAGGATGGGTTTGCACTATAATGGGAATATTCTCACTTATTCTCACTTCTAATGGAAGTATTCTCACTTATCCAGCCGAATGAATTTCATGACACTGCTTTATCATATAACTTATGCCCAGATAGTTATTTATGTGTATCGAAAAAAGTTGTAGGGATAAAGGACCAGTTTTGGATATATAGTTTGAATTTTTATCATATCCCATTGAGGTATCCTAAGAATCGTGTCTTCTGATTGGTTGCGAGAGCTGGGGGTATTTTTATATGTCTGACTGCATGCAGTCCAGAATCCTGGGATAACGGGTTGCTAAACAATAGAAAGAATTGCAAGCAGATAAAAAGTAAATGGGGAAAAMAAAGTTATYTACCGTCTTGAATAGACCACTTGCATGTGATGTCAAAGCAGCTAAATTTTGAGGACAAAACACTGAAAATAATGTCAAACTAATGAGAATTGGAAATCTATTATTACGTCCTCCAAATTGAGCTGTATTCCTACGTGCTGCAAGGGGTCTATATACGGACCGAGGCCGTTTCTGGACCTCGACGACAAAAAACTCTCTATACATCTTACCTTGAATAGTAGAACGGCCTGAAGTCCATGGTCCTTGAACGTATATCATCAGCACTAAAAATGAAAGATACGAAGGTTTTGGTGAGTTTACCGCGAAAAGATCTCTTCAGCTTGGGTGTAATGATCACGTATCATTCCCTAGAGTATCGTTCCATAGAGTATTCCCATGAGAAGACGCATGAATATTGATACCACTCAAACAAAAAATCTTATTCTCAAGGGCATGATACGTGGTCTCAAGCTAAGAGGATCTACTGATGAGCGATCAATCAGTCTCCTCCCCCCYCCCCCCCCCCAAAAAAAACGGTAAGGACCATTTCAATTTTCATCCCTGACAATGTACATCAATAGCTCAATAGAAAGAATCGGGTTAAATAGTACCTTTCATAAAGAGCATTAATGCTGGCACTCCTTTTAGCTTTTATTACTGGCCTGAAATTAAGGAAACAGACAAGAAAAAAACGTAAAATTCGGACACTGCTATTCCGTAATTATCCAATAGCATAATGTTACAACGTATTATCAAAATGGTTGGGTCTCTTTAAACTTTTTTTGATTATAACAAAAAATGCGCTGGCAGGACCGAAATTTTAAAACTTTTACACATACACTTGAGGGTTATTTGAACATGCGCAATAGGTAGATTACGAGCCTTAAATGAAACGACTGAAGAAGAGGGCCAATGGGCCTTTCCTAACTTCAAGTCGCGTAAAATGAGCCAGCTCAACTAGAAACCGTGGACAGCTTTGTCGGCCTGTTTTGGGCCTCGTTAGCACGGTGTGTCTAGTGAGCTGGTAGAAATTATTTGAGTTATTATGTTGTGAACTAAATACTAGATCTTTCTCAAATTCGCTTGAGTGACGTACCACGAAACAATAGACCCAAGTCGAGTTTAGACTTGATGTGTTCATACATTTACTGCACTTTACCAAGTCCAACCTCGAGTTAGACTAATTGTCCATAATACATGCTCCAGTTTCAAGCCTAGTTACCTTGCATATAGGGGATTTTCTGTAGACTTGGATATGACGACCTCTCCAGGGTGTTTTGGTTGAGGAAGAGTCTGTATGCTCCAGGTGGCAGACAGACTATTGATGATGGTGTTGTTATGGTCACCACGGTGGAGAAACGTGTGGCTGGAAAGTCAAAAATATTCAGAAAAACAATTGAACGCTTTCCAGAGTTATTTCCTCCAGCAGTAAAACGGTTTCGTCAAAGACTGCAAGTTAACGCCCTTATAATTAGCACCCTGACTCGTACCCAGTCGCTTCTCTTACGCTGTTATCGATCTCGCGCTAAGGTTGATGGGAAGTATTTAGTGAGTTCGCGGTGTATTAAGGGAAGGAAGAGGAAAGCGAAGCGTCGTCTTTTTTTCTCTATCCTTCCAAAAAGCGTGAGTGACGACTCGGTACGAGTCTGGTTACGGTACCCGCCAGTGTTCGTACCTATACGCCGAATGAAGGTCTCTCTTCACTAATACCCTTACTTCTCTACTCTCATTGTCGTGCCTCAAATCCTTCCTGTAGAAACATGCAGAAAAATGTGAGTAAAAACCCGTACATTGGCGCAAAAGATGACAGGCAATCACAAATCGTTTTTCCCCGCTCTGTTGGCTTTTTTCCCCCATTCGGTAAATAACGCTGCGATCCTTGACTACAGACTGAGTCATGCATTTGTACAAGCTTAGCTTCGTTTAATAGCAAATCATTGGCAAAAGTTAAAATAACTTAAAGTTAATGGTATCATAGTCTCCCTCGCATCCGTTTTTAGTGTCGGTCGTCACGCAACGCTCCCTCCCCACAAACGTTGCGTGACGACCGACACTAAAATGGATGCGAGGGAGACTAATGGTATCACTGACGGATTTGGAATTTAGAATCGGGGGTTCAGAAAATTTAGAAGATCCACCTTAAAATTATCTTGAATTGGAGCCTAACATGGAAATACAAAAGAAATTCCATCGAGAAAAAGTGTGATTTCTTTTGTATTTCCATGTTAGCATCGCATCTGCGATACTTTTGAGAAGGGTCCATTAAATCAACCAACTAGCTGCACGCTAGAAGTGGGGGAGGGGGGGGTGCAAGGACACCCTGTGTCCTACCACTTAATCCGCCCCTTGGTATACACTTATTTCAATAAAGTTAGTCACCTGAAAAGCTACAAAGCTGAGACCGACAAGAATTATGGGTAGATGCATTTTACATGTTCTAACCGCTTGATAACTGTTGATGGACTTGAGATCTTCTAGCAGTTACAGTCTCACCTCCTCTGAGCATCCTAAACTTCTGCAGCTTGTGTCAAAAGCTTTAATTGTTGGATATAAAATATTTCCCATGATTCTCAGCGATCACAGCTTTCTAGGTTTTTGGTGACTAACTTTATTGAAATAAGTATTTATCCATGCATAGCTGAATTATAAATAATATTTTCAAAGCCGACAATGAGGACTGGACGGGATTTCAAGTCCAAGCAATTAATTCCAGTCGGAGGCTATTTGTTGGGTCACATGATGTAACTTGAAACCTGGTAAAGTCCTGTGAAAGGACTGAATTAATTTGTTGTTCAAGTCCTTGGACTGGATCAAAATTAATTCAGTTCAGGGACATATCTGTCCCTTAAGTCTTTCAATCCTAAACAAATAACCTCCCGAATTATTAATGAGTATGAGAAGAGAGGTTAAACCTATAGAAATAAGTACTGGACCTTAAGAGCAGGAAATACTTACAGTGACCCCCCATACATATCTATCCGAGTAACAGAGAAGGTTGGGGTTCTTTCTAGCGTTGTCGATTTTTCTTCTTCCTTCACGGCCTCCGGTATATCCCAGGATTTTCGGGTTTTGTTGTTCAAGTAGCATCTAAGTTAGGAAAAAAGCACCAGAAAAGTTATGGAAGGGACGGGGATGGTTTTGCGATTCTCTGTTTTGTCCCAGGTAGTCGAAGGTTTGCATATACCATAGGAATGCGTTTAATGGAAATCGAGTGGTATAGCGTTGTTGCACTCGCCTCTCACTTTTGAGGTCTAGGGTTTGATTCCGGGACTTGTCATCACAAGTGAGTAGAGTTCGTTAGCTCTCTCCCATGATGAGAGGATTTTTTACCGTTTTTCCCCCCGCCTCTGCAAAACCTAACAAGCTAAATTCCATGATTTTGATCTGTGAGTTAGGCGTGCCCTGACTGACTTTGATCAGCCCAGAGGTTATTTCATGGTATCGATAAAATTTGAACAGTTTGAAGACTTGATTGCAGCGCACTAAATCCGTTTTTTACCTTCGTATTGACCAAACAGATACGATGACAGTCAACAAGGCTAGGAATCCCACTGTTGCCATCACAGCTATTATRACAGGATTATCAAAGACGTCAGTGTCATCTTGACCAATGGCTGGCGGGTTGTTCGGTTTTGTTTKGTTTTCCGGGCAATTGCAATCCTTAAGATTCCTTGTCTGCATGGTATAACTCGTTACATTCATGTATAACGTGGTTGTTTAGGATAGCCTGTGTCTCACCAACTTGGTTTCTTTTGGCAAATACAGTGAGCTTAAGTTAAGTGCTGTTCTGCTTGAGACCCCATCAGCTTCTAGAAACAGTTAGGGGAATTCAGCAAGACGAACTTCAGCACTGGAGGAAAAAGATCATACACTGTACTTCAGAAACAAGCAACATAAATATTAGACTATGGATTTCTAGGGTTTTTTTTTTACAAAATCTTATATTTAATTTGTTAATATAATGTTAAGTACAATAGAGTGGTTTGTAAACAACTAGTGGTTTTATTACCCAGTGTTTGCGAATTTTTAGAAGTACGAAAGAGAAAATTCGATTTTGGTTTCAATCTGTCATATTACCCCTGATGCATATTTATTCTGAACCTTATTGCTTTTTGCTCATGATTATTTATGAATTAGTGAAAGATGAGCTATTTTGAGCTAAGTTTGCAGGGTTGAGGGAGCTCGTTTTATGAAATGTAAAAAATAATTGCTTCAGAAATATTTCTGGAAGAAGCTTTTCCGATCAATCTGATTTGAAAAAAAGTAATTAGTCGGACTTTTCAACCGGACATTGAAAGCAATATCACAAAAAAGGAAGACACTTTCTTAATTAATTAATAACAAGCAATAATTAATAAAGCAACTAGCTATATCATGAAAATATTCAAAGATAATGAAAAAGTTAAATCCTTTTTGTTTCAATTTTTTTTTTGTTTCTTTCAAGTTAAAACAGACTTAAAACACTAAAAAATCGCTTATAAGCTCTTTTGCACTGTCTTTGCTGCCTTGGACGACGACCCTCGGAAGTCTTTCGCAACTTTAATAGGAGTGTTGAATCATAATATCAATCAAGGTTTTTGAATAAACTTGAAATTCTTACCTGTTAAAACTAAAGAAGAGGTTTACCTTTTTATCTATCCCGTCACATAAACTCAGTGCATCTGTATTCCCCAACAAGCTTAGATCGAGAAAACGTCAACCAATGTACTTGAACTGAAATTCTGTATCCGATATTTACTGATCGATATACTGTTCATTAATTTTGCTTTCGAGGGAACTTTCTATATATAATATTTTTGCGAGAGATTGAACCAGGGGAATATCGAAAGAGTTGCTACTTACCCACAAACCAATGTAGCCTCCTTGGGTGTCATCCTACATTCTAATTTCGGAAATTTTAGTTTCAATCCTTCATGGAAAGTTATTACATCTGCAAGTCTCTTCTGCAATGTGATTGGCTAAAATAAAGGATGTAGCTTGTCTGTCATAACAGCATTGTGGGTAACCTTTGTGTTTTCACTCAGAGTTTTTAAACCACAGGTGTGAAACAACTAGAAAATTCGTGCCTATAAGTTGTAGGGAGAGCCTACGTAGCAAGCAGTTGATGTAAAGTTTCATAAGAATACAACGATTCGCATACACTCAGTTGAAGAATCGTTGCCGGGTTCAGAAACATAGAACATAGAAGCTGAGACCGAAATGCTGTGACCGGCGACCCGTGACATCATCCACTGTTTTTAATACGCGTTTGGCATTCTAAACCGACTGCATGGATAGCGCAAATGAATAAATTATAATATAATTATGTCATTTCCCATGTGCCATTTCGGTATAATACAATAGATAGAACCACAATAGAATACAATAATTTTCCTGATAGTACATTACATCAACTGAGTGCAATGTTGGTTCTCCCATAAGGCTATAGCCTTCTTGGGATTCCTGTGGCCACAGCACCACAGGTAGCCTATGAAAGAAAGAAGCTGTATTTCCTGTATTTAAAATCAATAACGCTAACATTCTGGATAAAACGATATAAAATTACTTACTTACGACACCGGCTGGTCATGTGATCATCTTATGTGGTCATGTGATCATCTTCCGTCTTGTTGGAAGGAAACATTGTCTGGGTTCAAAGTTTGAGTACCGTTTATTTTTACATGTAAAAAAATATCAACTATACAACTTGAATTTATCACTTTATCTTAATTTGACGCTAATGACTTTATATCACAAACTAATTCACCATTTTCGCTGATTTTTTTCGTCTAAATAGACGTAAATCCCCCATTCTCTCCCCCCCCCCCCCCCCCCCCCCCCCCCCCTCCTTCTCCTTCCGTAAGGTTTATTACGTCAAGTTTACATCAAGATCATCTGGACAGAGTATAAAACACTCTGCTTCAGTTTCGGAATCATAATATTGTTATTTTCAATTTATAAAATGTATGATAAATCAACTAGTGAATTCAGTTTTCGCATGATACCGTAAATAATCAAGACTGTAGGTCTGTGTTATCCGTTGAGGTTTAGTTTTTGACCATGAAACAGCTGCTACTTGGTCGATGGAAAAGGCATTTAAAATTGGACACTTGCTTATCCTGTGGCGGTGAATACAACTGACAAGTCTGAACGCACAAATCGCGACGAATAGTTCACATTCACCTCTTGAGAGGAAGTGTAGCGCTGATAAAAAACAAATAGGTAATTAAGATAAGTGTGTAAAAAACAACTGCAGAGAAAGCGTATTTTCTCAAATCGATCTATTTAATATACCTTGGATATGATGTTTTCCCATTTCAGACCATATGTCATTCTCGATCTTGAGAATAAGGTTCTTTGTTCGAGTTGTATCCATATTCATGTGTTTCCCATGCGCATTCATTAAACAAAGAAATGATACTCTAGGGAATGACAGGTGGTCTGAAATGAAAAAACTTTACGCCCAAGGTAAAGAGGCATATTGAATAGCCAACCTTTCGTAAACGTGAGCTGCGCATGCTCTTGACGTTCGTTGGGGGGTCTCGTAATCGTTCATGGTTGCCATGCTATGGGTAAAACCGAAAAAAAAAAATCGAATAACTTGTTTTAGTTTTATGAAACTTGTACTGGACTGAAGGAAAACACATTGATTACTGTGATTGGTCAATGTATTGGTCACTGTGATTGGTTAGTGTGTTGTGATTGGTCAATGTATTGGTCATTGTGATTGGTCAGTGTGTTGCTTTAGTTTTAGGATTTCTAAGTCATCATTTTTCAATTTTACCTTTCATAAACATTGTTCCTTTGGCTTTTTTCACTGCAGCTATATTATTATAGACAATCAGTTAGATACTGTTATATCATAATAGTTGGTAGTCTCCTACGCAGCCATTAGTGTCGTGCGTCGTGTCGTTAAAGGAGTGAGCGTTGCGTGACGACACATATAGCGGCTGCATAGAAGACTAAATGGTTGGGTGGGAGCGAAGTCTATTCAAGATAGATAGATCCTGATATCCAAAACTTGACTAAGCTCCACTTAAGCCAGATCGATATCGTACTGATTCTTGGCTTGGCTGGAGAATACCATAAGCGTATACAACGGGGTGCTTGGGGCTTGATGGGCGATCTATTTTTAACCGCCAGTGATAACGTCGGGTGTACACGTGACCGACGGAGTTGTATACGGTAGACTCCACCCCTTCACATTACATAATCATATATTCGCCCATAAATAAGATGCAGGGAAGCCTTGAGGTGTTTTAATCCATATATATACCTACTTAGTTGGGTCTTTTATTTCTTCATATACCGGTCCTTGGATCGGCTCTCTCGGTTTTGCCTCCGAATATCCGCTGTCATCACTAATAGATGAAATAACGGCCAAAAGAAGAAGTATTAAGTGACTAGGACAATTAATGATACCTTCATGTAATCAATTATAGCTTTATTTAAGCTCTTATTCACCACTTTCACAACCGCTTAATTGGAAATAAAGGGTGGCGCAGTAGTAGTTAAAGTGCACATGAACCCTTCGACAATACTTTCAGTACTGATTCTACACGAAGTAAATAGTTGAATGGTAAAATATTTGAGTGATGCGTTTCTAAGTTATGAAGGTTTATACTTCCAATATGCTAATGAGTGTGACGTCTATTAAGGCTTAATCAAATATACAAAATCGAACTGGTTCATAGAAACAGTATTTAAAAAGCATCATTATTTTACTCATGGTTTACATGAAAGCTATTTACAATTTTTATTTTCAAAATGGCCAGCATTTAGTATTACTAGTTACAACAAAAACACTCAAATACCTTACCTGACGTCATCATCATTAACATATTGGAAGTATAAACCTTCATAACTTAAAGACGCATCACTCAAATCAAGAAATATTTTACCAATCAACTATTTACTTTATSMRRA